CCCCCCCCCCCCCCCTTGTCTGGTGAGAGAGAGTAAATATTACTGTCTCTATTTGCTTTCTCTTCACCATTTAGTATCTTGTAATCCTTTTTCTCATGCTCCTGCTTGAACAGGCCTGGCCTCTTCGGTATCTCCTCCCATGGAAGTCCCTCCGTAGCCCTGATTGTCCTTGCTGCCCTTCTCTGGACCATCTTCTATGTCCTTTCTGAGGTGGGGACCAGAAGTGGGCACAGTGTTCAAGGTGTGGATGCTCCAGTGGCTTTGCTGGGCTAGCCAAGCTAGGCCTCTTTTGCCAGCATGAGTTGCAAGACACAGGGGCTTCTGAAAGCATGGCTAGGACAGGGACGGAGGTGACCTTCTTCTTGACCTGCGAAGCTGAGTGACGGCAGCAAAACGTTGCAGCATAGACTCAACCCAAGTCTTTCTGAAGCATGCAAGGGAGGAACGAGGTGCCTTAGCAGAGCTGGGCGTACAGAAACCAGGGCCAGGCATCAGGGCTAGGATGCAGGCACCGTGTATGGGGAATCATGTACGTTAACTACCCTGGCAGCACGTACCTCTAGCTGCTGCCCGTCTCTTCTCCAAATGCCCTGCCGCCGTCTCTGAAAGCACCGAGGGAGGGTTTTGCCGACCCCCATGGAAAAGCTCGTGGCTGATTTGTCATCCGCACGCAGGCAGGCAGCTCTGGGGCATGGGCTCTTCCGGCTCAGATGAGACCAAATGTGACATCAAAGAGCGGAGAAAAAAATGCCCAAGCGGAGGAGAAATTCAGATCCTCCGGCTACAGCAGACACCGCGGGGAAAACTCACTCCAGCTGCAGAGCGAGGGCTGGGAGCTGACAGCAGCTGGGCCCTTCACCCGTGGGGCTCATCTGAGGTTTGAGGAGCTGTGAACGTGGAAGAGCTTCTCTGCATGTTGCTCAGCTGAAATGGGGCACAAGGGACACATCTGGGGTTCCTGAGAGTCTGAGGCTGCCCCATGGGCAGCCTTCGCTGGGCCTCGCATCTCATTAGCCCGGGAGATGCTGATAGTGCAACCACAAGTGTCAGCAGCGTTGGAGGGGCCCCCACGCAGCTTTCTGTCCCGTCGCATGGATCAGGCAGCTCATGTCTCAGCTTGGGCTGTATCCAGGCACACGCATGTTCTCCAGCCAAGCCGGGCTTGGCTCGGCTCGTCTCGTCTCCTGGGAGCGTTCAGCTGGCATGGAGCTGAACAAGGCCCAGCTCCTGCACCGGTCAGTGCTGCCAGCCCTGTGCCAGCAGAGCTTGCATGCAAGGGCCCTGGTGGGGCTGGAAGGTGAGGCCTGTAGCTTGGGGTTTCCTTCATGCCCCTTAGCTTCCAGTTCTCCCTGAGAACTGACCCCCCTTGCACCGAATTAAACTTCTTTAAACCTCTCCCTGCCCCATGTTCTTAGTTGTCCTCAGCGGTGAGGGCTAATGGGGTGGGGACTTCATCACAACAGGCAGCAGAGCTCTGAGCAGCCACCTGCTAGCTGGCCACATCCCAAGCATACAGGATGGGATGCTCCTTCTCACCTTGTGTCAAAAGGGTCCTTGGTGCAAGGCAGCTGCAGGCCCTGCCTTGGTTCTTGCAAGCATCTGGGGCGACGCAGATCTGAAGGGACCAGCAAGAACTGCTCCCACCCCATTGCTCCAGGAGTGTCACTCACCTTTGCTGGAGGCTGCAGGGGCTGAGACCTGGCTCCCAAGGCAGTGGCAGAGGCGACCTGGCTCACGGAGGCAGTCAAGGGAGCAGGCAGCACTCCCCTTCTAGCTGAGATGCATTGGCGCCTGGCTCTAGGTCTTGCTACACGCTGCTCTGGGAGGCATGGGCTGTGCAGGATGGGGCATTTCACACGCAGGATGCACAGTGAGGCAAGATGAAAACTGCAGCTTTGGGAGGGCGTTGAACCGGCCCGGGCCTGGGCTGGGAGCCGGTCCTGGCTGGATGGAGCACTCTGCCCAGCATGGCTGCGTCCTGCTTTGCTAGAGGCTGGTGGAGAGAATAGCCAGGACATGGGTAACCTCAGCCCAAAGGAAGAGGCACCCATGCATGCCCAGGCTCGAAGCAGGCCAACCAACTCACAGACATGGGGCGTCACACGGACGTAGCTACTTCCCTGGTGTCCCACTGTAAAGGCCCCAACCTTTACCTGCCCCGAAGCAGAAACATGAGGAAGCCAAGGGGCCTGTAAGGCCAGTTATTCTGTCCAAGGCCACGTCAGTCCCTGCACAGCTATGGCCTGGGCAGTACAGAGCAAACCTCTGCCCTGCCAGGGAAACAGCCGGGCCCCATGCCCAAGGACTGCAGTCAGCCCCATGGCCACAGCAGCCCCCTCAGGGCCCTTCGAATGGCACCGGGGCTTGCCTGGCAGTACATGCTCTTGGCCCGTGGCGGGCAGAGTGTAACCAAGCTACTGCAGGCAAATGCCACCCAGTCCAAGCTCAGCTCATGGCCCAGCTGAAGGGCCCGGGAGACATGGCTGGGTTGGGAGAGCCTTGTGTGTGTGGGGAAGCCAGTCTGCTCAGGCCTTTCAGCTGGCACTGGGCTCCGGAGCAGCCGGGCCTCGGCCACCCACCTATTGCAGAGGTGGGGAAGACAGGACTAGAGATGCCAGCGTCACACTGAGTGCCCAGTGCCCTAAGCCCACAAATCTGGGCAAAGCCTCACGGCTCAGCCCCCCAGAGATCCTCTGGTCCTCTCATAGCCCTCTACATGCGGGCAGCTCAGCCTCGACTACAGCAGAGGGGAAGCAGGACCTATGCCAGCCTTGGTCTCTTGGCCGAGGGGCTTAGGGACAGAGCCAGGCAGAAAAGGCCCCCTCAGCACGACTATTCTCTAGCTGAGGGAAGAGGAAAGCGTATACCACCTCCTGCCCAGTCCAGCGACTGGCACTTGTAAAGCATCTCCACCGCCCAACAGTTGCACGATCTAGGCAGGCTTGGGTTAGACACAGCCCGTGGGCATCTCCAGCTCCCTCTGCCTTGCCTGATGGATCTCTTCTCCCTCCAGCTGCTGTTCAAAAGCAAACACTGTAAAGGCTGGCGGAGAGGGAGGGGGAAGAGATAAACGACCGCATTATAAATCTGTCTCCCGGCTCCAATGCTCGCATGCACGGACGACACTTCATTGCGCTGCCCAGGCGTGATGGATGGCCCTGGATCCGTCTGCGTCCAGTGTCGCTCTCCAGTAGAATAACCTGTGTTAACAAAGTGCCGCTAGCTCATCGCTCACACCATGTTGCAGAGGGGAGGTCACCTCACCCCTTCGAGGCCAGGTCAGCCCCGTACAGTGTTACACTGCCAGGCAGCTGCTGCTGCCTCCTCCCAAGGCATCAATTATTCCCAAAGCTGACAGCAAGCTAAACTCAAAGATGGGGCAGGCTGAGGCTGGGGAAGGCGAAGAGGTCTTGGGCCCTAAACTGCCGCTGGGCAAAGAGGTGAATGCAACCCAGCATCCCCTCACTTCAATTTCCCCCTGCGCCTACGTTCTAGCCTGATTAACAGCAGCGGTGACGGCAACTGGGACAGCTACTCAGCAGGCAGCGGGGCATGAAATCACAGCTCCTAGAGGCTGGGAGCTCAGCACAGGCCTCCAAGATGGATTCCTTAAAAGACCTGGTTTAAAGCAGCAGCAGCAGTGCTGGCTGGTACCCACACGCTCTGCTGGAGGAGGCCTCCTCCACTGCAGGGGCTTGATGACACTGGGTGGGCTGCTCCCTTCAAACAGGAGCTTGCAGCTGTTGGGTTCACCCTGGGAAGGAGGGCAGAGCCCAGTGGCCACGTGAACAAACAGAAGGAACATCACTGCTAGGGAGGGCTCTGTCCTGTCCCTGTCAGGGGGAAATACCCTCTGTTGCAAAGTGGCCAGTACAGGCAACCTGGTTGGCTTTTTGGCCCAGGGAGGAGACGAGCTGAGGGGCCCAGCTGGCTCACAAAGGGTTTCAAGTCCTGGTCTCAAGGCTCCAAGACAGGGAGAGCTCTCCCCTCCTTCCAAGAGAGGCCACGCAAACGTGGGGTCTATTCCCAACATGCCTCACCGGTGGGGCAGACTCAGCTGCTGCAGAAGCATCTAACCTGGCTGCGTGAGAGCCTGGCACAATCCTAAAAGCCTGTCTGTACCAGGGCTATGCGGCCACTTGGGGAAATGAACCGACAAGAGCCATAGCTGGAAATGCTACCCCTGCCCTTGGGCAGCTCAGGCCGAGACAGAGCGCTTGGGGTAGAAGAGCGCTTTGTCTGGGACCAGCCCTAGATTTGCCAGCAGACCCTTGCTCCGCACATGCTCCACTGCCCGAGCAAACCCCACTCAGCACAACCGACTTCAGCCCCTTGGGGCCTAGCCCCCAGAAGGGAGCGCCTGCTGTTCTCCCCTCACCAGGACGAACTCGTGTTTTTCTTCCCACCATTAAAGAAAACCTCCCAATGGTTTCTAGCAGCTCCTGCCCTCCTGTGCATCAGACCCCCCTGCTTTGGCACCCCCCACCCTGCCACGCCATGGCCCCACAGTGGCTCTGGCACGTGGGTGAGTGTCACCCCCGTGAGCATGCCAGGCTGGCAGCCCTGGAGCCCCAAGCCCATGGGCCACAGCCATATCCCCACACTGCTCCCAAACCTGCCCCGAGCCCCACTGGAGCATGGGAGGAATTCGGGGCACTGGGGTCCGACCTTGGGGCTCCGAGCATGCGGCGGCAGAGGGGCACAAGTCGGGCAATGGCACTTTGGCAGGGGGCTCCTTTAATGGGAGGCACTGGCTTCGTCCAAACCACCATAATCTCTGGTGCTACCTCGAGGTATAAAATGGTGAGGGGGGAGGCAGGCGGTGCCCCCTCCAGCAGCGATGGCCGCCCCTCACCCTGACATGATTCCAGGGACACGTGTGCCCAGCAGGCCTCCGGGCCGGGCCTCCCCCAACCCCACGCATGCGAGTCTGGCGCCTGCAGGCCGCTTCTCACACAGAGGTCCCCGTGGGGAAAGGTATCAGCCGGTCCTTGCCGGGCTGCTTGCCCATTTCTGCAGCCTCTGCTTTCAGCCACTCCATCTTCTGTTTGTGCTGCTGCACAGCGTCAGCCACGCGGGCATCGATCATGGCCTCACTGAGGACCCCGTCCTCTGATGCGTACGCTGCAGCCTGCAGAGGGGAAGAGAAGACTGGTGGTTAGGAACAGGGCACCTGTAGTAGCAGCACGTGGAGCCGGGACTGGCCCCCTTGCTCTGGGCAGCTGCACAGCTCTGGCTGCAGCCCTCGGGCTACCAGCACAAGGGCTGGAGCACAGCAGCCCTGTCCATCTCTGCGTGGGTGCTGCTCTGAGGCGGCTGCAGCAGATTGCTGAGATCAGAGCAAGCCCCCAGTGTGGAGGAGACTCTGACCAGCTTCAATCCCCTGCACCCTCTTTGGCATCGCAAGGAGCCCCACATCTCACTTCCCTGCCCTTCCCGGCAGACTTGGAGATGCACAGGGAGTGCACAGCTTTCCCCAGGAGTGCTGGGGAGCTCCCCTTTAAACATCTGGGTTCACAGCCACATCCCTCACCTTCGGGGCTGGAGCAGCCTCGCTAGAGATGCTTTCTGCCTGCTCAAGCCTTGCACTGTGCATTACCCCAAACACCCAACTAACTCCATGGTGACCCAGACACTAGAGCACTTCTGGGAAAAGCAGGCTAGACAAGTCCTGCACTTCCAATGCACGCTCACAGGAGAAGCTACAGCCCTTTGTACTGTGACAAAAAAAAGCGTTCGATCACAAAGCAGCGCCAGAGTGCACAAACGCTTTTATACACACAGCGCTTCCCCCCAGTTCACTGGAAGTCTTTGCTATGGGAAATTACCAAAATGGGGGAGAACAAGAGTCATCTTTCCAGCAGTGCCGCATTGACCATGGACACCTATCGCCTTCGCAGTGTTGAGGCCAGGGCTGGTCTGTCTGCAGTTTTGCAAAGCTGCTGCAGCTGGGTCCTGGCTAAGCCCCAGCTGCAGCAGGCTTTTGAGAGGAGATTTCCTCTGGCAAGGATCTTCCCACCAACCTGACCCTTCTCAAAGGCAAGGGGGCCAGACCACCGCCTTCTGCATCCCTTTCTGGGCAGCTCTTTGATCCCTTGCTTAGGGCTGTGGTACAGCCTGGCTGTGAAACCCACGCTGCTTCTCCTTTAAAGCCTCCCAGGGAGAGATCGGCCTCCACCTCGCTGCTCTGAGAAGACAGCAGCTCCTGATCCAGCTCTTGGGGGCAGTTGGGAAATGAGTGCCCACCCACCCCCAGCAAAACCAAGCACAGAGCCCCTCCAGCCTCCCCTCCGTGGCCCATTTTTCTTGCGCAAACCCAGGGACACCTAAGCAGCTGTTTGCAATCAGCCCGCAGGCCCTGGGAGAAGGGCGCTCTGAGGCTGGAGCACCTTGACACAGGAGGACAGGGCATGCATGCTGTAAGCTGGTCCTATGGATTCAAGCGCCAACTCTGGGATGGCTGCCCTGCCGCATCCCCTGATGACCGGCCATCCGCCATAAGTATTCATGACCCGTTTACAGCATTGTGCCCCCCACCTGTCCCACCCTGCTGCGAAATCTAGGCTGTGGATAGGCTTGAGATCCAGCCTGAGCATCCCTCTGCTGAAGGCTCAACTGGCCTGCCAGAGCTCTCCAAAGCGGCTACCCCCTTTGTCTGCCTGGCTTCTCTTGGCACAAGCTGGCGGGGAGGGAGCTCAGGCATTTAAAATGGAGTGAGCGTGACGCGTGCACACCCCTGGGCTGAGCAGGCCAGCGGCATTCACTGCTTCCCCGCGCTGCAGAGCCCATCAATCCCATTGTGGAGGCTCCAGCCGAAGCGGCGCAGTTCACGCTCTGCTGATTTTCTCAATGACTTTCTATAAATAGCAAGCCCGAGGCCCTGGCTGTCAGAAAAGCAAATGGGGGAAAGCAGTGGCACCTTCGGGGAGCAGCTTACATACTGAAAACCAACGCCTGGCTTCATTTGTATTCATACGCTGGGCTCTGGCATGGACAGATTTTAACCCATTTGCTGCCCTGCACCTGGTCAAGCTGGAGAAATTGGACTTGGCCCTGGAGCTGTTCAGAGGCAAAAATCAATTGTTCCTCCTCCCTTTTGCCAGGGAGAGGTTACGGAGCTAGGCACGAACCCCCTCCATGATACCCATCTGGTACCCCCACCTCCACCCGCAGGAAGAGAAGCCGATAAGCTCAGCAGTAGCCTTGGAGTGATGTTTACCAGCGCCGCTACTTCACAGCCCAGCCTGCTCCAAAAACATCTCACACCTCTCTTCTGCCCTTCAGCGCCCAGGCACTTTACAGCCTCCCCCCTACAGAAGACAAGCATTTCACACAGAGGGAAAGGTCACACAAGTCAGAGGAAGAGATGGGCACAAAATGAAGGGAATGTTAGCTGCATCCTGTCTCCATCTAGGAGGCAATCCCAGCACTAGGACAAAAGAGCAGGCCTCTCTCGTGGGGATGGCGTGGGACTCTTGCAAGAGGTGGGCAGCGGGTAGTGCTAGCAATCGACACGCATTTCCTTGGCTGTTGTTCCAGAGCAGCAGCAAAGGTGGTGCGGCCGTGGGTTTGCACTGGAGCCATAGAAGTCAGGAGTTTGGGTAACGCTGGACGTGGCTAAGACGATTCTAGGCATGGAAACCAATGGAGTCCTAGCCAGGTCAGCTGAGGAAGAGCCAGGGAGAAGGAGAATCATGGAGAAGCAGGGGTGGAAGGGACCTCCAGAGGACATCGAGTCCACCCCCTGCCTGAGGCAGGATCATTGCTATCCAAACCATCCCAGACAATCCACCATCTTGGAAAAACTACTGTCAAGCCTGACACAAGATATAACACCCTCCTTAACCTGCCGCAGGTAGAACAGGGAGACCACGGCAGCCAATGTCCTGCTTCTATAAAAGGTTGTAAATATGTATGCTTCAGCAATCCCAGGTAAAGGACCATGCCCCCAGCTACAGAGAAAGGGGAAGCCCAACTACCTTTTGTGTGAGCCTGAAAGTCTATTTCCATGATGCCGACTGCTGGCTGTGTTACACGGTTACAGGCTCTATCTGCTGATTATCCAGGATCAGAGAAACTTGAGGGATGGGGCCAAGCTAACAACAAGCAATGAACCCACAGTGGATTTCCATTAGCAGTGATCGATTCTGAACCCAGCCTACACAGGGATCAGACCTTTGCAGCCATTTGCCTGGACTTCAAACAGGAGATTCAAACCCATAGCATCCCTTGCCACTGCAGACCCTGGATCGTGTCTTAATTAGGGTGGGAGCTCAATGGGGTCCAGCCCCACTTCCCTGGGTGGGGCACGCAACCCTGGGTTTGTGCACACTTCTGCTACCCCCATTACAGGATGGAGGGGGTCAGGCAAGCTAACACGGAGGTGCATGTGCAGAGGTGCGGGGGCTCCAGCTCCGCAGGGGAGACCTGTGCTGCACTGCAGACTTGTGGGAGTGGAATAGCAGGGTTTGCTGCTGCCCTGCACTGAGGTACATGGCCAGGGTGGAAGGTCTAGGCATGCGCTGGTGTGATCTGCCCTGCAGACACCCTGCCTAGACCTCATCTATGGGAGCCCGGCAGCTCCAGCCCCTCACCTGTTAGCTCAGTGCAGCCCCACTCAGATGCCTTTGGGACAGCTCTGTAATAGGATGTGTTTTCTGACTGCAGTTTTTCAGAGCTGCTGCTGATTTTAAAAACTGGGACAGCTGCCTAAGGCTAGGCATACTTCAGGGGGGTCAAATCCCTGGGAATTAAGAAAGGAAATTGGTTACACCATGGCCTCCGTCTGCCGTGGGCAGGCAGAGGGCAGACCCTGTGGACTGAAGCATTGGGCGTTGCTTAAACCTGCTCTTTTGCTCCTTTAGAGAGAAATGCTGCTGTCCAGATGCTGCCCATGGTTTTGTTCTGCCTGAGACAGCAGTAAGGAGCTTTAATGATTGCAGCCGGCAACGCAGCAAACGACTGTTGGAGAAAAAACTAATTAGGAAAATATATACATGAACCTGAAACAAATTAAGTGACTGGCATGTTGCAATTAAGCTTTGCACTTCGGGGATTCACGTTGAGTCGCATCAGGGGCATAATGCAATGTAGCCAGAGACACGGTGGCAGATGAATGCCTCCCATTCAGTACTTTGTTCTGGCGCCATCCACCATTGCAAAGGGGGAAAATTGTGTGATTATTGTCTGAAGTCTTCAGACGCATTCGATTTTGGGAGCTGTCATGACAGGCTCATCTAGACAAGACAGGGAAGCTTAAAATACCTCCAGACACAATTGCTTCAAGGCTGCTTTCAGGGCTTTTTAAAGAGCACCTGGCTCACCGCATGTTTACCAGCTTTGCTGTGTAGCTGCGATTAGAAAAGGAAGGTGGAAGGATGACGTTGTGGCTTCCTGTGTTTATTCCCCCCGTGCCCACTCCCACTTTGGATTAGCCTGGTCTACAACTTCTAGGTAAGAAACCCCATGGTATTTCCCACTGGCAGCACTGAAAACTTACCAAGGGGTTTTGCAGGAGGAGAGAACTGGTGGGACTGCCCAGCCCCTCCCGCGGGTGCCTGAGCCTGGGGAATTCAATAGGAATTCAGGTTTCGGGAGTGAAATGACTAAACTCGAGCATCCCACAAACATGTGGCTCCTACGGGGTGATTTTCTGCCTACAGCCTTGTTGGTTGCCTTTTCCTGGTGCTCTAGGTTTCAGGCTACAGCAGGTCCCGCGGCTCCAACCTGATCCTGAACACACAGCGCTTGAATTCAGTCACAGGGATGGGTAAGGCAGCAACAATGCAAATGCATGAAGGGCTACAAAGCTGGGAAGGAGCCACCAAGGCCATCGAGTCCAGCCACCGGCACCACAATCTCCACTTCAAACCCTCGTGCACAGCTATCAGAAAACATCCCCTGCAGCACCGAGAAGCCCCTACAATGTAAAACCTTCAAGCAAAGCCATGCCTAGTGCTGGCTGCAAGTGGCCTAATCCCTAGTACCACAGGAAAAGGGCGCCTTTGCCAAAGGAACGGGAACATCCGTTGTGTCCCACACGGCCTGTTTGCACACGGAGCCAAGGCCCAAGGCTGCCGGAGGGCTGACATCTGATCCTGACGCAGTGTTTGGGTTAGGTCATTTTATCTG